CGTAGCTTACGTGTCCGCCACTAGCATTCAATCTAAGTTCCCCGGGCTAGCCTGGCGAATTCAACCCAGCGTACGTCTCCGCCCCACGGTTTGGCTTCCCGTCCTTTGCTCCCCGGGCTAATCAGACGGATCCCAACCTGGCTTACGTCTCAGCTTCTGGTTTCAACTTTTCGCCCCCTATTCCCGGGCTAACTTGAGAACCCCAAAGTGGCTTTCGTGTCCGCCTCGGCCTGCCCCCCACGGCTTCAATTTCCCTAACATTTTTCTCTACCCGGTATGTTTCCCTAAGTTTTCTTCCAACAATATTCCTCCCTCATTTCTCCTGGCCTCTCCCCACAGTCCGCATCCAAGTCTGTTTGTTCTAGCTTTCACTTTCGCTTTCGACCTTAGAGATTTCTCCCAGCTTCCCCCCGTAGTCCGTATCTGAGTCTATGCCTAGGCTTTCAATAGCTTCTTCCGGCACCCTTTTCGTCCGGCTTTTCCCTAGGCTGTTTCGAGTCTATGCCTAGGCTTTCAATAGCTTCTTCCGGCTCCTTTTTCGTCCGGCTTTTCCCTAGGCTGTTTGCTAGTTTCTCTCTCCGATATTTTCCCTAGTTCTTCCCGTTTCTTCCCTCCTAAGTTTCATATCCGTCCTAAGTTTCCTATCCAAGTCACGGCACCATTATGTCGCTCCCCCTCTTCGTGGAGGAGCAACACAGGACCCTGCGCTGTTCTTTCGTCTGCTCGGCCCTCCCCGGGTTTGCTGCTGGTTCTTCCCGGGTTGGCTACTATCCCTTCCACCTCCGTGGAAGGGCAGTTCCCCCTGGCCGCATTCCCCACTTCCGCAGGGGAGCGGCACACCGCCGGCCGGCTTTCTCGGGGGCTGCACGGGTTCCCTTAGATGTTCCCCATAGATGTTCCTGGTGCATGCCGTTTCTCTCCTCCTTTATAGTCCTCCTCCGCCAATCCCAACTCGGCTGCCCACACGCCGAGTACGCTGCTCTCCAATCAGGAGCAAGTCTTACAGTTTATTAGTTGAACTGGAGGCAGCTGTGCGGAAGCTGTTTACTTCTCTCCCAGCGCCATATTGTGGGAGAGCAGATGCATAGAATAAGTCTTAATTCGAGTAACTTAGTCTAGTCCGGATTGCTCCCCACAAAGCTGGATTGGAAGCAGAGCAGCTTGGACTTGAACCAGGACCCAGGTGTCACAAGAGGTGGCTTAACCCACTGTGCCACAAGGCCAGCCCCCAAGGCTGCCTGTCTCTCACGGCTCACCCTTGCCAGCTACGAAACACATGGCCCGCTCCCAGAGGAGAGTCGCTCTCTGTGTCACGTGGAGTGCCTGGCAGACAGAGCTGATCAGCCTGTTCCTGGGTAGGACTTCAGTCGCCCTTCAACTTGGAAGTAACCGCAGTACTGCATACATCCGGGTCTCCCACGTCTGCGTTGGGCGGAAGTACCTCTCAGCACCGGGCTCTGCTCTTGGGTCTGCCAAGCGCAGCCCAGTGCCGTTTGCCCTTGTTGCATGGGCAGCACCTGCCCTGGGCGTGCCTCCATGCCCACCCCCACCCCACCTTGGGGGAGCCCACGACTGCAGCTCCACATCTGCTCCCTTTGTACAGCAAGGGTCAGCTCCTGGGGCTTCTGGTCAAAGAATGGGGCAGTGTTCCTGGACAAAGGCAAGAATGGAACATTCTTCAGTGCCACGTAGCGGAAAGAACATGGGCTTTGGCATCAGGCCCACCTGGATCCAGTCCCCCCGCCCCGCCGCCGCCACCGCCACCCTGCCAGTCACTGCCCATCTGCGGGAACTCGGGCCTCAGTTTTCTCACTGTTACAGGCCAGAGAGTTCAACGAAAGAGCTTGGACAAAGTTCTGGGTATGGAGAAGACACTCAGTAAATGGTAACAGTTGTTGTGTATTTCAAGAGGTGTCAAGAAAAGCAGACTTGCCCAGAGGCCAGCCCACGTGCCCGGCTCTGATCCTACGCCATCTATCTGGTTGACAGTCCTCGGGTGCCCGTGTGGCATTATTCCCATTATGCGGAAGGCGACACAAAGTCCCAGAGAGGTTAAACAACCTCCCTACGGTCAAGAGTGAGGACTGCGAGGGAGACACAGCCAGCTGGGCCGTGGAGGCTACCCTCAAAGACTGACAGATCCACGCAAGCGGCTCTCAGGGTTTCCACTGGAGAATCCATCACCTGTGGCTCTCCTGAATCCTGGGAGCAAAGTACAGAAGCCACAGGGGCAGCGGCAGTGGCTCCACCCACGGAGAAAGCCCAGGCCGCGCTCGAGCCTCGTCTCAGCTCCGGTGGCCTAGGGAGATTCTGGAGAGCAGAAACAGAGGCGGGGGTCGCAGGCAGATCCGGCCCGCAGCTGACAGGAGGGGAAGGGGAGACGGAGAGCAAACACAGCAGAGTGCGCACAGGCGCCTGCGGGACTTCAGGGTCCCCGGGTCGCTGGGCAACCATCCCAGGGCCACGGGGAGGAAGGTGCCTGGCATCCATCATGGTCACCTCGCAGTCAGTGGCACCCGCACGGTCCACAGGGCAGCAGGCTTCTCCAGGGAGCCACAGGGGACGCACGCCCCCCTCTCATGGCGGGGGGCAGGGGTCAGAGCCCCCAAGGGCCTGCAGGATGACAGGGTGGGGGGGTAGCTGCTGCCTGGACGCCGGAGCCTGCAGGGCTGGGGGAGCCTGGGAGCCCCCTGTGGCCACCCTACTCCCACGTGACCAGGCGGGATTCCTATCCAGCTGGGACCAGGGCCAAAGACCCAAAACGCATTTCCTGGCCAATCAGGGATTAGCATCCGTTCCAAGAATAACAACACGAATTAGCTGCCCGCGCCCCAAGACAGAGCACGCACGTCCTCTGGTGCAGCACTGGACGCCTTCACCAGATGAGAAGAGGGGCCGACCCCCACCCCCCACCCCGAAGAGAGAACGCAGCCTCAAGGTCCACAATGGTGGATCTTTTTAAAAACACAGGTCAACAGAAACGGAGTTTTAGATTCAAATATCAACCAATTTCCTCGCTGCCGCCGTATATCTAGGTTGTGCATCGAGGAAAACAACAATACTTCTGGGCACAAGGGCTGGCTCATTCCCAGCAGCAGGAATTCTGATGTCCCTTTTGAAATGCGATTTGGTGACATGAAGCCACAGTGCCAACCTGGGCACCAGCAAGTGCTACCAAGCCGGGCATGCAGGGGGGTGCGGGGTTGTTCGGCGATGGCCAGTAGCAGTCCTGTTTGAAGCAAGCAGGGGCCACTCCCACCCTGGCTCCCACCAGAAAGCCCCCGGAAGGGAGGCGGGGCAGGGGCAGCTGCTGCCCAGCACCACCCCCAGGAAGGTCCTCCCCACACCAGCAGCACAGGGGTTCCCATCCAGCCCAGGGCCAGGCCCCCACAGCACGGTCAGGGCCACTCCCAGATACCTCCCATTGCCTGCAAGGCAGCCAAGTAGCTTGGTTGGGCAGGCAGAGGGTGGACAGGCTTCAAGGGGGGATTCTGGAAATTTCCATGCTCAAATCCTGGCTTGGATGAATCAGCCTTTCGCAGTCCCCTGGGGAGCTTGGAAGAATCTGGACGATGGGTGCCAACATCCTGGCTCAGCCGTGACCCCACCAGCAACGTCAGAACCGTTTCAGTCGCGGTCCTGGGCAGCGCTCTGGGGGAACTCAGGGCGATGCAGCGAGGATGCGGGGCTCCCCCACGGTGCTGGAAGAGAGGCTGTGGGCTGGCGCCTCGCCGGAAGAGAAGCCTGCGGACGAGCGCCCGAGTTCTCCACGTTAGAGCCGTCCGGAATTTGCCTCCAGGTAGACCTGGGTTCAGTCAAGGGGATAAAAATGTAGAGTTGATGGAAAGAATTGGAGTCATTTTTTAATGGCTAAAACCATCAGCTCACTCACTCATGAGAATTGTAAAGACAGCAAGTCGGTGGTCTTGCATGGTCTCAGCGTTCGCCCTCATGGCCCCCAGAGGAAACACTTCCTCTGTCTCCTGGCCAGGAGGACCCGGGCGCCGTGGAGCTCCGGAAGTGAGCGCTTGTTTCTGTTCCTCGAAGACCCCTGGCTCCCGATATAGGCTCAAACTGCTGGGAGGATCCTGCCCCCCGCTCCCCCGGGGAACGGAACGCCGTCCTGCTGGACAGCACAGACCCTCGGTTTCCCTTCCACGGATGGCTGGTGAGAACCAACCGTGTCCCGGTCTCCACGTCCCCTTTGCCTCCCTCTTCCCCCACCATGCCTGTTTCACAAACTCAACTGAATCATTTTCCCAAGGGGTCCTTTCTTCAGCAAATAGACACCCGGAGGGAACCCAGCACGAGGAGGCGGGGCAGTGAGGTCACGGGGGAACAGAAACAACCACGTGCACCTGCCGGCCAGGCCGCTGCACCTGCAGTCTCCCGCGCCATGCTCGCCCGCCAGGGCCGCTCCCCGAGGCTGGGGGGAGCCAGTCTCCTTCTCCTTCACTTGGACGCCCACGGAAGGTTTCCTGGGCACTGACAATGGGTCTGGAGGACCCAGCATGAGACGTGACGATGACAAGGCTGTGGACGCCACTGCTCCCAGGGCTCCCAGAGCTGATTCCTGTGCCCTGAAAGTCAGGCTCGGTTGTTCTTACAGGTGCGTCAGAGGCAAATACGTTTGCACACCTGCCTCTGTTACAGCTGCTCACATGTGCTCAGGACAGTCCTAGTGTCCCGGCCCTGCCCTCCTCACCATGCTCAGGGGAGGCCTTGAGGCAGCCACTGACGGTTCCAGACGAGGACAGTAGCCCGTGCCTCGGCAGGGCAATGAGACTGTGACATCGCTTTCCAGCCTGCGTGCATTTGCTTGTTCATTTGTCAGGTGACTCCAGAACCAGAGGTCACTCCAGAACCAGAGGTCACTACTCCAGAACCAGAGGTTACTACTCCAGAACCAGAGGTCACACCAGAACCAGAGGTTACTCCAGAACCAGAGGTCACTCCAGGACCAGAGGTTACTCCAGAACCAGAGGTTACTCCAGAACCAGAGGTCACTCCAGGACCAGAGGTTATTCCAAAACCAGAAGTTACTCCAGAACCAGAGATTACTCTAGAACCAGATGTTACTCTAGAACCAGAGGTCACTCCAGAACCAGAGGTCACTCCAGAACCAGAGGTCACTCCAAAACCAGAGGTCACTCCAGAACCAGAGGTCACTCCAGAACCAGAGGTCACACCAGAACCAGAGGTTACTCCAGAACCAGAGGTCACTCCAGAACCAGAGGTTACTCTAGGACCAGAGGTCACTCCAGGACCAGAGGTTACTCCAGAACCAGAGGTCACTCCAGAACCAGAGGTTACTCCAAAACCAGAAGTTACTCCAGAACCAGAGATTACTCTAGAACCAGATGTTACTCTAGAACCAGATGTTATTCCAGAACCAGAGGTCACTCCAGAATCAGAGGTCACTCCAGAACCAGAGGTTACTCTAGAACCAGATGTGCCAAGTGCATGAGCATTCTCATTTTGCCAGCATGCTGCCTCGGTTTCCCCGTCTGTGGACACAAAGCTGACGCTGTGCTCCTCCAAGTGTTACTGGAGGCGTGAAGGGAGTAATCGTGCAAAGTGCTCACCACCTCCCCCACAGGTAAGCAGCCGTGGCCTCCTGGTCATGGCCCCGGGACAGAGAACATTCATGTGTTGCTGTCTGCACTTGAGCAGGGCCCACAGCTTCCAAGGCAACGAGCAAGCTGGCGCTGACGTTAAACAAAGGGAGCGTTAGGTAAGCAAGAGGAGCTATCACAAGCCAGCTTGCTCGTAGCGATTCAGTTGTCATAAACGCTCCAGACAGCTGAGGCTTTGGCTAGGAGACAGGCAGGCCGTCGTGTGCCCTGGAACCAGAGCTGTCCATAAATGATGCAGCGAGAGTGGTGCTGGCCACACACCCTGGAGATGCAGGTCGGCAACATCTGTGCCCACAGAGGGGTCTCAGCAGACAAGACGGCCCCAGCTGTACAGGCAGACCTGCCCCCACAGTCCTATGCACCTGCTCCATAGTCCTGCGTCACCACTCACTGCCACCCACGTGATAGTCCACTCGTGGGCCATGGAGAGGGTTTAAACAGCAAAGGACATTCATAGCGATCTTTAACTATATGTTTTAAAGAACAAAAGTCCCAGGATTGCCCAATGGCACTTCACGCTCCTTCTTCTGCTACTGGAGAACATGAGGCCAGAGGGGAAAACCCCACCTCTAATCCCCATTGCCAAGTCCTTGGGGACCAGGGCCTGCCTGAGGCCCCCTGCACAGCCCTGGTTTCCACCAGGGGACCCCTACACATCCTGGAGCCCACCAGGTAAGCTGCCTGACAGCCCCTGCATGGCCCCCGTTCGGCCCCAGTGCCTACAGTCTCCTACTGAGCCAGCGACCCTGGGCCGTGATCTCCCAGGTGCCCCGTGACCTGCTAGGGGATCCGTGATCTCCCAGGCGCCCCGTGACCTGCTAGGGGATCCGTGATCTCCCAGGCGCCCCGTGACCTGCTAGGGGATCCGTGATCTCCCAGGCGCCCCGTGACCTGCTAGGGGATCCGTGATCTCCCAGGCGCCCAGTGATCTGCCAGCTGATTCTTCAGAGTGCCACGGCGATGATCAGGAGCTTGGGATAAAGACAGCAAGGGAATCTCTGCCACGGCGGCAGTTGTGTGATCTTGGACAACTCATTAACCTCTCGTGTCTCCATCTGCGCATCCGTAAAGTGGGGGCGAATATCTCTGGCTCACCGGGTCGCCAGGAGGATGGAACAGATCCTTGTTGATAAAGTGCTCTATGGGGACCGGCTCAGAGGAGGCTCTCTTTCACTGCTGTGACGTCACTGCTGTGAGTTTCAACGGAAACAACTGAATGTTTGGAAGACATAAGCACAAGCTGCGCAAACGCTTAATGCAATTATTGTTGTTGCTGTTGTGAGTAGGGAGGTGTGAAGTGCTATAATATACATAATGTGTTGTCAGACAGCAATCCCACCTGAGAAGGAACATTAAGAAAGATTAAACATAACTCACAGAACCTATCTGTTTTTGTACTCACTTCTTTCATGTAACTATGTTGGGTATAATTACGTCACTAATCAAATATCAAAATCCAGTGTCAACTAACAGAAGGTAAAACTCCCTCTGGGCTAATCCAGGGGAAAGTTTCAGGAGGTCCTGAGTTTCCCTGTAAAATTATTTAAAATATTATTTTATTTCCTAGTGCCCTTTGTCACTGATTTGAAGGAAAGAAAACTGGGTCGTGGGGGCGGCGCTGTGGCACAGTAAGTTAATCCTCTGCCGGCGGTACCAGCATCCCATATGGGCACCAGTTCTAGTCCCGGCTGCTGCTCTTCCAATCCAGCTCTCTGCTGTGGCCTGGGAGGCAGCAGAAGATGGCCCAAGTCCTTGGGCCCCTGCACCCGTGTGGGAGACCCGGAAAAAGCTCCTGGCTCCTGGCTTCGGATTGGTGCAGCTCTGGCCGTTGCAGCCATTTAAGAAGTGAACCAATGGAAGGAAGACCTTTCTCTCTGTCTCTCACTCTCACTGTCTGCAACTCTACCTCTCAAATAAATAAATAAAATCTTTTAAAAAAAAAAGAAAGAAAGAAACTGGGTCACACACTCAACAGAACAACAGAGGCTGCCAAGCAAGCTGAGGGTGAGAAGGAGACGTTTTCCGACAGTATCTGCGGCCCCAAATGCTAAGTGGTAAAAAGTAAAAAAAAAACTCAATGTAAGGAGGCGGTAACTTTTGAGGGTCAAAACAGGAACACTGCTTCAAAGAAAAGCCAAGTTTAGAAGGGCAGGTAGCAGTGTAAGACCACAGAGCCCAGAAGGTGCCCAGAGCTCTGGCCTCGAGGTTCGCAGCCGGCAGAGCGACTTGATGGTTATCTGCTGGGACTGTGTTCCGTGGTCGGTGTCGCAGGCTGCACGCCCACGGCTGTCTGCAGAAGGGGCTGCAAACCCCAGGCCACAGCCACACAGGAGCCCCCAGAGCGCTCCGCCTGCCCACGAGGAGAGAAGCAGAAAGAGCAGTTGCTCACACCTGTGTCCCCGTGTCGCCCCCGCCTGCGCGGAAGGACCCAGTGCTTGTCCACCAGCCTTGTGGACCGCAGGCACCCTGCAGAGCAGGTGGCCGACAGCCGCACGGGGCAAGGCGTGTGTCTGGCCAGCAAATCCACTCCTACTCAGCTCCCTGAAAGCAGTGGCCATGGGTTCCCCAGGGCTCTGTCCCTCCCCACCTGCAGCCCCTCTGCCACATGTCCCTCCCCACTTTGCACAAAGTGGACACCCAGTTAGAGCTGGCGAAATAACAGACAAATGGCAGCAGAGAATCCGCACTCGCTCGTCCAGCTCAGCTTCCACTCAGTCAGAGAGATCTCCAGCTTTGGTCTCAGGACCCATTCGCATCCTTAAAAGTTGTGTACTCCAAAGAGCTTTTGTCGATGAGGGCTGCAGATACTTATCATGCTAGAAATTAAAGCAAAGGAGCCACTGCATCACTCAGGTCTCAGGGACGGCACCGTGACACAGCAGGTAAAGCCGCTGCTTAGGACACTGGCATCCCACGCAAGGGCGCCACTTCAAGTCCCTGCTGCCCTGCTTCTGATCCAGCTCCCTGCTAACGTGCCGGGAAGGCAAAGGGTGACAGCCCAGGTAATTGAGAAACTAGGCTGGAGCTCTTGATTCCTGGATTCACCGGGATGCAACCCTGAGTGTTGTGGCCAAATGGGGAGTATATAAGCAGATGCCTTTCAAATAAATAACAAATTTAAAAAAAAAGAGAGAGAGAGAGAGAGAAAGGCTCAGTGTGAAACCAGGCTTTTAAGCAATGGGCTAGACACAGAGAACACACGCAGTGGCTGGCAGCACGTACAGAGGAAGAGACAGAAAACAGGAGAGCGCAGACGTCCCCGAGTCTCTGGGTGAAAGGCACAGACACGTGTCCTGTGAAACTGACCATGGCCACCTGTGAGAGCTCAGCGTACAGTGTGCATGGCGTCCTACAGGGCACCTCACTCGGGTCACCTGGGGCAGCTCCTGCCACAGCACTGGGACACTGGGCAGTTCCTCCAGGGTACTGGTGTCACCGGGGTCGAACCTCTCGTCGAGGCTGGGGAGGGGTCCAGTGAGGGCCGCCCGGCTCCCTCCGCAATCTTCCGACCGTGGAGCACGGCTTTATCCTGGCTCCCTGCTCCTGACCCTGACTGTTAAACGGTCAGGGCCTTCTCCTTTCACAAGCTCTGCGCCCGGCGGTTCTCTTTGTGACACAAGGTTCCACAGCTGAGAAGAGAGTCGATTGCACACGGTTTTGTTAGACATGTCACAGGGGTGATGATGTCACAGAGCTGACCGCTGAGAAATGTCGCTTCCCGGAGGGCCCCTGTCCCCCAGGGCTGGGCCGCGGCTCGCCGCTGTGTCCCCAGGGTCCCTGGGGTCCCACACACGGATCCCTCAACACACACCTGCTGGCTTGCCTCTGGCTTCCATGTAAAGCATACAGAGTCCGTGCACGCGGAGATCAAGCGGTCACCTTTGATTTAAAGTTCGCTTTTCCAGATTACACGACAGCCACGCTAAAGGGAAACTACAATGATTGCTGCTGATGCCCAACAGCCAGCAAAAAGTCACAGGGCCATAAGAACTTGCTCTTTTGCCTTTAGACTTTTTTTTATTTAAAGACAAAGAAACAGACATGCCTTTCACAGGTTATTCCCTAGGTGCCCACAATGGCTAGAGCTAGGCCAGGCTGAAGTCAGGGGCAGAGAACCCACCCTAGGTCTCCACATAGACGGCAGGAGCCCAGCTTCTTAAGCCGCCCCCTGCTGCCTCCCGTTAGCAGGCAGCCAGAGTGGAGAGCGAGTTAGGGACTCGGACCCAAGCGCTCCAAAATGAGATGCGGGTATCACAAGTGACACCTGAACCAGCGACACCAAACGCTCACTCTGGCCTTCTCGTTGCCCGTCTGGTCACTCACAGCAGGCACCGGGCACTGGGCCCTTCTGAGCCAGCTCAGGTTTTCCGGGACCTGCAGCCACAGGCGCTGCTCACTGCTGGCCTCGGCTTTCCCTACAAACTAGCAACAAGTGCGTGGTTTCAGGCTACGTACAGCAGCGCGTTCTTAAACTACAAAAAAAATATCATTTTTGCTGAAGCTTCTGAGATGGAGGCTTGGTGGCAGAATGCCCCTCCCCCCAGGGCACCTGCAAGTTCCCACGGCAATGTAGGGTCTGCCAAAACCTTGCAGGGGACGCCCTGGGCGCCGACGCTGCTGCTAAGGAAGTGAGACTGAGCAGAGGTGCGGGGGTGAGGCTGGAGCGGCTTGTCCCTCGGAGCAGAGAGCGGGCACACGGCAGTCACCCCTGCGGTCAACGAGCTGGACCTGCACGGCTGTGGGTGAAAGGGCATCCGGTTCCCTGTGAGGAAGAAGAGAGAGAACATTGTGACTGCCCAGCATCCACTGCTCTGGCGTTTCCTTAAAACTTCTAAACCTAGAAAGACAGCTAGTGGGGCCGAGAGAGAGAGAGAGAGAGAGAGATAGAGAGAGAGAGAGAGAGGGGCCGGTGCTGTGGCATAGCGGGTCAAGCCTCGGCCTGTGATGCCAAGGCATCCCATATCAGGGCCAGTTCTAGTCCTGGCCGCTCCGCTTCTGATCCAGCTCCCTGCTGATGCGCCTGTGCCCAAGTGCTCAGGCCCCTGCATCCACACGCGAGACCCAGAAAAATCCCCCGGCTGCTGCCTGGCCCAGCCCCAGCCTTGGAGGCCATTTAGGGAGTGAACCAGCAATGGAAGAGCTCTCTGCTCTCTCTCTCTCTCTTTCCCTATAACTCTTTCAAATAAATAGATCAAATCTTCAACAGTCAAAAGGTGGAGGAGAAACACAAGTCTCCGTCTCCTCTCGTCTGTTACTCGGGCACCTTGCAGCTACCAGCGCCGCTATTTCAGTGTCGTCAGCCTTCTTTGTCCTCGATGCAGAGAGGAGCCGAGCATCCTGCACGCGTGTTCCCCAACCCCTGCCACCCTGTTCTCTCAGGTTCTTGTGGGCTGCCCCGGGAGGCACCGGCCACTTCTTTGACACCAGTGCCTTTTTCTTCGCCAGCTCTTCTGGAATCACTTCCTGTAACTTCCGCATGCCCTATGCCCCTCTGTTCATTCGACGAAGGTTTGGGGACCATGGCTCCAGAGACCAGAGTCCAGACTGCCCCCGCAGGGCAGGGTCTCGCCCTCAGTTCAGAAAGACAAAGAGTAAATGACAGACCATAAAAACCATCACTGGGGTGTTCCCAGGGAGTGAAGGTGCTGGAAGGAAAACAGCCCAGCCTAATGAGATGGAGAGAAACGATAGTGCATAGGCCAGACCGGACTCAGAACCGTGAGGAGCAGGCTGCGTGATAATCTGCAGTAAGAACATTCCAGAAGGAATTAGACATACAAGAACCTGGGGCCAGGAGTGAGCTCGGCGTGTCCAAACCACTGGAAACCTTACGTACGCCAAACAACAGAACATCTAAGCGAGAGGAAAGGGGAAAACAGGTGGAGGCCAGGACGCGTAGGGCGTCACCTTCACAGCCAGGAACAGGAATCGGCACGGCAGGCGGCGGAAGCCCGTGGAAGTATCACCAGCGAGGCGGTAGGAAGGAGCACTGTGCTTCCAAAGCTTGGCTGAGCTCTGGAGACACACACAACGCGGCTCCAAATCCCGCCTTTGCCACGCACGTCGCAAGGAAGAGAGGAAAGGCGACTAGGACATCCATTAGAAATTCCATTTTTAATAGATTTCTGATTCCAGCAGGAAAAAAAATTAGCTCTAGGCTCATACTCGGCTTGGCATATATTAAAAATCTGTTTGGAAGCAAACTGTTTTTAAAGTACCTTTGGTTTTAATTAGTTTCGCATTTTAATTTTAAGAAAGGATGAGAAACCTTAATAAGAAGCATTTTCCATTTGGGTGTTTAAATCTGCACCACGATGTTACATTGAAATAGTTTCTGGTGTGTTAATTAATAATCTTCTCAGGAACACCGCCAGTGTGAAAGGCCGCTGTGACTCACTGAGCTTCGCTGGAGCTCACTCCATTTTAAAATCCTATTAATCTTTGTGACAAATGACAGGATCATTTAATTTCCTTAAACGAGGCCTTTTTCTTTCACATAGGGGCTTTCTTCTACCTGAGCGTACGGGCTATGACAAGCCTAAAAATTCAGTTTTATTTTTCAAAATGTCCTTTGTCGCATAGTTTGTGTATGTTCAATTTGACCCCTGTTTGTTTGACCCACACACATCTGGCCATTCTTCTCCAGGTCTCCCACCAACGGTCTGAAGGCTGCTTGCTGTATGTGGAGCTCAAGGAACAAGCGTGGGAAGGAACAGGTGTTGTCTCAGGCAGCACGCACATGAGCTCTGCAGCCACACAGAAATGCACCTGCGTGCTTAAACACGGCCTTTACCCAGCTTCTAAACACTAGCAGTGCGACGGACACAGCACACTCACCGGGAACATTCAAAACACAGGTACATCAAGATCGCGGCCGTTTAAGGTGCGTGGAGAAGCTTGGGTTGGGGTGAGAAATCAGGATCTTCCGGGAGGCGACTGTCCCACCTGATCCTCCCTTCCTACTGCCAGCGATGCTGGTTCTAAAATACTCAGGTAGTTAAGGGGCGGGCATTTAACCTGGCGGCTACGATGCTGGCTTGGACAGCCGTGTCCCGTCCCAGAGCACCTGTGATGGAGTCCCGGCTGCACTCCTGACGCCAGGAGTGCCAGTGCAAACCCCTGGAAGCAATGGCGGTGACTCCAGTAGCTGGGTGCCTGCCTTCCCTCGAAAGGCCCAGGTGTGAGAGCTGCATCCATTATGGTGCTGAGTCCGCTCAGCCACCAGGCACACGGGACGCGGTGAAGGAGCTGGAGCACCAGCAGCTTGCAGAGCCCACAGGAGGCATCATCAGCAAGCCTCAGGACCCCATCGCACATCCCTGCTGCTTGAGATACTGACAACAGTGGCAGCAATCCCGGGGGCGGGGGGCAGGGGGGACACGGCCCACTAGCTGGCCTTGGTTTACCCACCCAGTAGCTGTCCCAAGTGCTAATTCTGGTGACAGCCACAGAGCAAGTGGGGAAAACAGACGCTCAGAGAGTGAGGAGGTCCTTGAGTGATGGAGGCCTCACGGGCGGATCCAGCTCGTCCCTGCATCACAGTCCACCTGCTGTGTCGAGGCCGCTGTGATTTGGGGCCAGCAGCGGCACCGTGTCACCAGGGCTATCTGCGAGGGGTTTAGGGACTGTGGACGCACAGCCGGCAAAGGCCGGGTGAACTGCAATGCTGGTGGTGAATCAAAGTCCACACTGCCTTCACCCTTTCCCCAGGCAGAGCTGGGCTCCGCTCGTCCTCCCCTGGGAGCAGGGCTGACCTGTGCCTGCTTCGACACACAGGGGATCGTGCCGGCCAGTCCAGGCTGTGGCTGCCCAGCTCAACGCGGCTTTCCCAGAGAAAACCAGTGGTCTGGCGCCTGTGTATCCCACGCATATCTGAGACACTGGAGAGTGACTGTCTATCCGAGACGCAGATGGAGCTGGGCGTCCTGGTTTTACTTGGTAGTTCTGGCAAGGAGAGCTGGAAGCTTCTGCTTTGGTTCCGGGAGCCCTGAGCTGCCTGCCGTGCAGGAAGGCTCCATGACCTTGTTGGAGACAGGTGGAGAAGCCCTGAGAAACCACAGCCAGGGCCAGTGCTGTCCGGTGGCAGGGAAAGCCACTGCCTGCAGCATCGGCATCCAGTATGGGCGCCAGTTTGATGCCCGGCTGCTCCACTTCTGATCTGGCTCCCTGCTAATGAGCCTGAGAAAGCAGCGGAGGATGGTCCTAGCACTGGGGCTCCTGCACCCATGGGGGAGACCCAAGTGCAGCTCCTGGCTCCGGCCCGGCCCAGTCCTGGCCATTGTGGTCATTTGGGGAGTGAATCAGCAGATGGAAAACCGACCTCTCTCTCTTTCTCTCTCTCTCTCCCTTTCTCTCTGTGACTCTGACTTTCAAATAAATAAATCAATCTTGGGGCGGGGGAGAAGCAAGAGAATATGCAGCAGTTGATTACATTTCAGTGTTTAAACTGAAGCATTTAATTTGCTGTAGCTCAGCCTTGCCTTTAGTTTTTTGAGTGAAAGTCGAGAGTTCTCAAACGGTTTTTAAAACATACCCTGAAACAGAAAAATAGTGCTAAGAAATATTTCCCGATCTTCACATCCGTAGGTCTTTCCTCCTACTGCATGGTGTTTCTGAAAGGATAATTTAGAATAGCTTGTTTATGATATCAGCAGATGTTGATTCATTTGCTAATTAATGATTCAGGCAAAATTGGTGCATAATTATCCAATGATAACCAATTTATAATCATGAGTTCTCTCCTTGTCATAAGCCTTATAAATTCCAGATACTTTGGGAATTTTTATTCACCATTGGTTGCTGGAGAAACTCGGAACGAGTTGGGTCGTTATTGCATCCGTCACACCCAAGCAGGACACCTGGGCTTGGCCCTCAGGCCTCCGCCCCATCTCCCAGCAACAGTCACCTGGCACCTGTGGATGCTGCCTCCCAAGTCCACGGCCCTCACTCCACCCACTGCAGCCCAGGACCGCCGGACAGTCTTGAAATTGGTTGTCCTTGGGGCCAGCGCCGTGGCTCACTTGGTTAATCCTCCACCTGCAGTGCTGGCATCCCATATGGGCGCTGTCCTAGTCCTGGTTGCTCCTCTTCCAGGCCAGCTCTCTGCTGTGGCCCAGGAGTGCAGTGGAGGATGGACCAAGTGCTTGGGCCCTGCACCCGCATGGGAGACCAGGAGAAGAAGCACCCGGCTCCTGGCTTCAGATCGGCATAGCTCCGGTCATAGTGGCCATTTTGGGGGTGAACCAACGGAAAGAAGACCTTTCTCTCTGTCTCTCTCTCTCACTGTCTAACTCTAGCAGAGGGAGGCAGACAGGGAGGGAGGGAGGGAGGAAGGAGGGAGGGAGGAGGGAGGGAGGGAGGGAGGAAGGAGTTGGTCGTCCTGCTGCCAGTCTTGCTCCCTGTGCTCAGTGAACAGCGTCCACGCCATATCTCTGGACCTGTGATCGTGGCCAGAGTCCCTGCAGATGTGGCTACATGGAGGATCTTGACCTTGAGGGTTGCTCTGGGTTGTCTGGGTTCCCATATGGTCACAGAGAGGGACGGTGACGTGTCAGCAGGACGGGGAAGGGGACAGGGACGGGGGATGCATTTTGAAGATGGAGGCAGAGCCACAGACCAGGAGATGCAGGAGACTGACGGAAGCTCAGGAGGCAGGAACGCAGGCTCACGGTGTCACCCAGCCCTGCAGACCCTGTGACAGAATGGGTCGGTGCTGTGGCAGTGACTGATGTGGCAAAGTCGACAGCAACTGTGACAGCAGCA